TAGAGTATATATATGATAATTATATATGTTTATATTGAAAGCGCAATTCATCTTTTTACTAACATTCAATCTAGTGGGTTTTTTAAGCAAATCTGGTGTAAGTTTATATTTCTAGTTGACAACAATAGTTATTTACATCATCAACTCCGTCAGTGTACTTTTAACTGTGGTGACCAGAGTTGTGCCTAATTAAGAGTCCACAGTGGCAGCTCCCAAGAAAGTCAAATTTGATGTCCGGTCCTTTCAACAATCTTGGACGATGGATTTATTCTTCAGAAAGATCGAGCTGTGTGTGCACTTTGTTGCGAGAATGTTGTTTGTCAGACATTGAGTGTAAAGCGATATTTTGAAACAAAGCATGAGAAGACATTTAAGGACAATGTGGACAAATCTGAAGCAATTCAGAGAGCAGAATCCCGCTATGAAAAACAAAGCAGCGTTATGAAGAATCTGAGTGCTAGCATAAATCATGAAACCGAGGACAACTACAAAGTTTCACTTTGTATTACTAAATATGGAAAGCCATTTACTGATGGGGATTAAATAAAGGAGACTCCTCAACAGCTCTGAAGTTTTATTTAGTGATTTATCAAACTAACACAATAATCTCGAGGATAAAAAGACATGCCTGTTTCTGCTAGGAGTGTAGATAGGTGCATGTTGAACATGGCTTCAAATATAAGTGAACAGCAAACTGTTGCATTAATAAATGCAACTGTGTTCAGTGTGGCTATTGATGAGTGTGTTGATATTAATGACATTCTGTATTTAGGTAATGTATTGTTGCCAGGTACAGTGACACGTAAGTATACGAGGTGCTGTGCTGCTTAAAACCTATGCTTGGCACTACCCAGGGGAATGACCTTGTTAAATTGTTCTCTGATCATTTTGAGGAGAGAGAAGTTAACTTTAAGAAAATATATGCAGTTACAACAGATAGCACTCCTGCAATGGTAGGAAAAAACAAAGGATTTGTCAAGCTAATTGAGGATGAAGTTGCATTGCATTATTCAACAAGATAATCTTTGTGCCACTGTGACAACAATTTTGAATTTTGTTGTTGCAATATCTGCTCTTACACAGACAATTTCGGTCTTTTCTTGATGAGATAGATAGTGCATATTGAGACGTACCCCTTCACTCCAGTGATAGGTGGATAAGTTGTGTGAAGGTTTTAGAACAGTTTGTGGAATGGCTTTGACAAAATTAGGACTTTTGACAGAAAAGGGTAAAAAATATATTGATCTGGAAGGTGACAAGTGGGTAGTGAAACTAATATTTCTATCACACCACCAAACACCTCAATGATTTCAGCCTTCACCTGCAGGGTGCAGGACAGACAGCAATGGATGTGTATGACACATGTAAGGGTTTTGTTGCAAAGCTAGCAGTTTACTTGGTGGATAACTGCAACTTTCTGCTACTTCAAGCACCTGAAGTTGTGGTCTGTTAGTGTTACAGAGATTGCAGTGTACATGCAAGACCTGAAAGCAGAGTTCACTGCTTAATTTCAAAACTTCCAGCACATTGGCCCAATGTTTTCTTTTTTAATCAAACCAGAAAACTTTGAGGAGAGTGACTTGGAATTGCCTGTCTTTGAAACGATGGAAATAGGGGACTTGGAGATGTTATTGATCGATTATAAGTTATCTCCATTATGGACAGCAAAGTTTGTGGAACTATGGAAATTACTTGAAAGGACTGAGAGTGGCCATGAGGCTTCCATCCTAAGTTGCTGGGCATCCCCTACCAGAGAAATATGCTTGTAAGAAAAAGGTTGCATTCACACTGCTTTCAGACCTTTGGGTCTACGTATATATGTGAGCAGATATTCTTGCAAATGAAGTAATGTATATCCTTAGCCCCCATAGCAACCGACTCACAACAGATCACTCCAGGGAGTGTGTGCAACTCAATGGTGTCCAGATGTACTCGCGATAGCAACGCTGAGCAAGAGGAAGCAGGGGGAGGAGTCACTAAATCAGTGAGAGCATCTGATATTTATAACATTTAATATTACATTTATATCTTCCTGTACTTATGTAATTGTATTCTGAATTATTATAAAGGTATTTTTATCAATATACATTTGGACAATAATTTGCGTATTGAAAGTTATGGTTGGCACGTAGGACAGTAAAAATTTTGGAATTAATTGTAAACTGGCACAGTGTGTTCAAAAGGTTACTGACTCCTGATTTTTCCTTTCACATAAACTATAGATCCTCTTGCTGTCAATAAAGGCAGCATCTCCTTAAATTTCCTCCAGCCACTTCTGATTCTTACAACTGAGCTGGCTTCAATATCCCATTCAGCACTGGTTACATCACCCAGGTAGCAGAACTCATTAACATGTCTATTCCTCCTTTTTTTTTCTCTCTACATTATTATTTGCTATCTGTGCTAAGTCAGCCTACAACAACTGGCAGGGAGGACCAGTCCTGAAATTCCATGTTAGTGCCTCCAGCACCATGACTTGGAATAATGTTTTTTGGCAATTTTTCTCTTATTTTGAATGTACTAAATTAGTTAAACATATTAAAATTCATTTCCCATGGAAAAGGTGTTTTTGGTTATAATATAAAAAACATCACCAAAGGTCCTTGCAGTTCCAGCTTCAATTTTCAAAGGATATACTTTGTTCCAAACTTTACTGTAGGTCCTCAATACACTTGTTAACCCTTACGCCTCGGGCTAGGGTGCCGCCCGCCATTTCCCCAACGCGTGGTAAAACGAGAAAAATAATTTTTTCCTAAAATAATTTTTAACCTTTATAAATGATAAAACAATAGAAAAGATGCAAGAAAAAACTATACATTGTCCCTTTATATTCTTCCGTGGCGCCTCAATGAAGAGACAAATAAGGGGAAAGTTTCTTTTTACATCGAGCGCTCGCTGTCACTACGCACTTTGGGGTCATTTTCCAGCTTGCCTTTGTGTCCGAGTTGGCCAATAATGCATTTATTTACTGATCATAATACAGGTTGTACCTCTCTAGTCCGGCATTCTGTGGTCCGGAACGATTTTAGTTTGCGCATGGAGAAAATTAATTTCAGTCTGGTACTTTCGATGTTTGGCTAAATTTTGCCTTATTTACCCTACTTTTTTGGCGAATTACCACCTCTAGTAAAGCAACATCCTAATAAACCAACGAAAATAACACAGATAAAGTTAAATAAAAACTAAAAACAACAGAAAAAGTGTTTATGTTCTACAGCTTCAACTAGAGTTGAACCTGATGACTTGGCAACTTCGTCTTCCGAGTAAAAACACACACATCAACATTGGCTGTCCTTATGTTTTCAACTTTACCACCACTGGTGGGTAGAATTTTTGTTTTAAATTCAGAAACATTAATTAAAATATATATATGAACAGTAAATAAGTGTTGCTTTCATATTCTTATGTAGAGTAATGACGATATGTTTTCACGTGTGCGCACTTACATATGCGAACTCACTTTTTTTCTTTACCATTAATGGTTAGCTACTTATATTGTTCCATTCATTAACAATAAATAACATAACTTAAAACAGCCATAGTAATTTTTTTACATTAATTTTACTACAGCTACAACCAGGGTCTTATTTTCTTCAGTTTTATATGTAAAACCAATCAGTTACTGGGTTTTGTAAATATAAACGAAAACAATGCCGTCTCGTCTCCTTGTGTGTTTTAATATTCTAAGTATTATTAATGAATTGTATTGTTTATTTTACACATATAAACATTAATTCAATCAGTAATAAACAATTATGAGTCTTTTGTACATAAGAGAAATGACGCTGTTTACACGATTATGCACATCTGAACGTTGGCGGGCCGCTCAAACCCGTCAAAATTCGAGTTTCCGCCGTCGAACTTTTAAGTTGTTTATGTTTTTTTTTTTTTTTTTTCAAAATAAAAAAACGTCGAATTAAAAACTCGCGAAATTTGAGAACCTACTGTAGAACATTTAACCCTTCAATATGTTTTCAAAGAGACCACGAAGCAGTGAAAGTGGTGCTAGTGCTTCCAAGCGTAAGCACAAGTCACTATCTATCCAGGAAAAGGGTGAATTTCCATGGTCCGGCACCGGTCAGGTCCCAAGGTTGCTGGACTAGAGAGGTACAACCTGTACTTATCTCCTATAAATAATTCATATTGACTTTATTTTATTTGCCTTACTCTTAAGAAGTTCTCAGCGACACACACACACAGTCTGTCGTCAGGCTTTATGTTTGGGAGACCACGTAGGTCATACAAATAATTATCGGAATAATATTTCCACAAATAAATTCATTTATAACATAATCATACCATTAGCATCTAGTAAAATAAAGCCACACAACTTTTAGTAATATTACTTTAATACAACATGATAAAATATACCAGAAAATAAACAAACAAGAGAAGTTATTTACCAAGAAGCTTCCCTGTGACCAGCGTAAGAGGGTGGGAGATAAGAGGGTTATTTTAAGCCTGTCTTTGTGTCCGAAGTGGCCAATAATGCATATATTTACTGATCATAATACTTCTCCTATAAAGAATTCATTTAGAATATTTTTTTTCATTATTTTTCATAAAAAGTGCTTGGCGACACACCAGTCTGTCACCAGCTCCCTGGCTGTCTTTGTGTTTGGTATAGCAAGTAATACATAAAATAATAATAATTCCACAAATAAATACATTTATAACATAATCATAGCATTGTTTTACAGTAATACTACACTACAATACAACTACACTACCTTTAGCAATATTACTTTGATACATGATAAAATAGACAAACAATGAAATTATAAAAATTTTAGTTAAAAAATTTAAAGTCAAAGCTCATAAATCCAAACACCTTGGGACCAAACAATGCACGGAATTTAAAATTACAAAGTTTTGAGCAGCATGGCACCCAGAGTACATTTTTGCATAATTTTTTTTAAATGATACGTATTTGTAGTGTGTTTACTGTAACTATAAAGATATACAGATAACTGCAAGGATACAAAAATAAAACAAAAAAATTAGAGCAGAGATTTATTGAAGTATGGCATTATAGGTGTGAGTGTCACCACATCATCATCAGTTTGCATTGATGCGTTACATATTTTCAAATTCTGGTGAAACTGGCTTCTTCACACAAAAGGGCTAGAAGTAGTCAACCCTTCACTTCTCTGTAACCTAAACCTATAAAACTATAAAACTATGCTGACCTTCCATCAAGGAGTGACTTATGTTTGGCCATATCCTTGTTTGTTCCACCGTCACCACAGAGTAATATACTGTGCTCCTCTTTCCACCATTACAAGCATTATCATCTCTTAGGATTTTCTTGGAAGACATTGTTAGGGTGGAAATTCCAACTTACTATTAAAAAAAAATCTGTCACAGTCATGATGAACAGTACAACAGGCTGTGAGACAGTGAGTGTGTAAGTGGTGCACTTTTGAAGTTTGGGTGAATGGTATACATGTTATATCAATTCAATTTCAATTGTTTATGTTTTATCTTCAATTTTTTCCATGAAATTTCATTTACCATACATAAAGAAAACAGCAAAACTTATTCATTTTATAAATCTCTAACATTGAAAAATTCATGTAGTGAGGTAGCTACAGTACAATGCTCCTGACCTGATTATATATATATATATATATATATATATATATATATATATATATATATATATATATATATATATATATATATATATATATATATATATATGAAAGGTATTTGGAAGAATATATGCATAACGTTTCCTTTTTCTGTTGCATTTGTACATTAAAAACATTCATACCAGTCCTTTTATGCTTTAGGTAAAATAAATTTTTTAACCACACGTTTCTATTTTTTCATGTCTTATGCAAAACATATTGGTTACTTTTCACATTTTTCCATTTCTCAAGTCATGTTACTGTTTCACTAATTTCTACTCATCCTTCACTGTATCTAAGGGGGATACAATTTATTTACCCAACATGAATCGTGAGAAGTGATACAATACAGTATTTTCTTGATTTAACGAACAAATTTGAGCAACCTCTTTCCATTAAATCAAAATTTTCACTAAATCAAATTTCCGTTATTTTCTCTCGATTTAGCGAGCTAGTTTGCTAAATCGAGCACGATTCCGTTAAATTCAACGCCAAATGCACCGCTTGGCACATGGGGCTTGTTTACATCAGCTCAGTCTGTGTTCTATCGCCACTGCATGTGTTGTTCACCGCTACCTCTCAGTCGACTAGCTACTGTGATTTGACATCATGCCAAAAGTCTCTCAGAAGTTTCAGAAAGGAAGTGGTGTGGGGGAGAAAGTCAAAAGAGTGCAGGTATCAATTGGAAAAAGTTTGAAAATTATAGAAAAAAATACTACAAACACTGAACCCTCTAGTTTAAGGTAAGCCATGAATAATGTTTCTATGTACGTAATTAATCTTAATTTAGCAAACTAGTTCATTAAATCAAGTGAAAAATAATGGAAAAAATTCCTTACGCTAAATCGAGAGTTCAATACATCGGATTCCGTTAAATCAAGAGTATATTGTACTGTATATTCAGTGAGGTGCTCCTGTATGTCTCCCCCAACTTGACGAGTAGGGGATATAACCATCATACTATGCGAGTCTGTGGACAGTTTTTGTGTACATTTTCAAGTCCTTCCTAGCCAAAACTCTTACATGAAACACAATTTGCATTCAGTAAATTTGTTAGTCACAAGGTATATGTCTACAGTATAAGTAAAATTTGATAACTGCCCACTGTTCAGTTCACAAATCCAAACTGGGCAGACAATAACAGCTTACCAAGGCTAAATTATTGAACGAAACAATAGAGTTCCTGATATTGTACTGTACAAATAAGACGTGTTCTAACTCGTCTTTGCAAGCCAATATAACAAGTCTCCCTCTAGTCCTAGACACAATTTCATCATTTACTGAACAACTCTCATCCATCTGGCAGTGCATAACATGAGCAGATGAACACATACATGAACACATGGAAGTCAAGGCAATGGCTAAAGACAAGACTGCTTCTCTAGCACAATAAATAGTCTGATTGTGTGTTACATTAATAGTAACAACTCATAAAAACTCTAATATCAAGTTAATCTACAATGTGGACGACACACATGTGATGAACTCTTGGATCCCCATTGGTAAATTTCCTTGTTGCCTCTTGAAATATGTGAATGTTGTGTTGTACATTTATTACAGTATAATAGTCAACTTTATTCAAACTACTGTATATAAATAAGAAATATTGTTTTTAAACAGCAAATGTTCATAAGCAAAATATAATAATTAATTCTGAGATTATTAAATATATTCTTATTAGTTATTTTAAAAAATTCTAAAAACTAATATTTTCAGCAACTAAAATGTACCAATTACTATTTTCATCGCATCTGAGAGTTGTACTCCTGCCAGTACTCCTGGGTCATCATCTGTGTGAGGCGGGATACGGTGCGGTCAAAAGCAAACATTTCCTCTTCTCCGGTAAAGATGTTTATGGCCTTTGTACTTTGGTTTTTCTCCTTTAATCCTAAATCATCCATTAACATAAGACTTTCCTTGTCTACAAATTCTGAGTGACCTTCATCTCCCTTGAAGATCTGAGTGTGAGGAACATCACTGGTGCACACAATCCGCACCTGATGACAGTTTGGTGTTATTAGGTAGGAACAGTACAGTACCTATAAAAAGTAACTATTTTCAGTATTGAGAGGTGAGCAACCAAAGAAAAGCTAATGACACAGAATGAGGGAGTGCATACCATATTTTACTGTATATAAGACGCACTTTTTTGTCTGAAAATGGTTAAAAAAATCAGCCTGCGTCCTATAAGTGAAGTTGCGGTCTCCCGTAGGTTAATGAATCCCCTAGTTGTTGTCTCCAGTAGGCTAAATTCTACCTCACCCAACTCCAGAATTAAAAATATGTTATATTATTTTTAATTAACTAAAAAAATAATTAATGTAAATATAAAAGCAGGATTTATAACTACAGTAAACCTAGTTAAGGCGGATATTGCTTAAGCCAGACAATATTATTTGCAAAAAAAAAAAAAAAAAAAAGGGTAGGATAAAATTTCAAGGGACCAAGGCATTAGCACACGGGACGCAAGTGCCCGAGAGTTATCAATTGTTGTTTTGGGGAATATTATTTCATTCACTCAAGTAATGATACAATGTTTCGTATTATGTTAACACAGGTAAATGTATGGTTTATATAATTTGTTGTCACTGTGCCTGTTACCATTTTCAAATTAGACTACAAGATATGTATTTCTCCCAAACGTACTGTACAATAATATTTCCATTAGCCGGAATCCCTCAAACTCGGAACTCTCCGATAGCTGGAATTGAAATTTTCTTGGAAAATTGTTCCCAAAGTCGTAATTTTCAGGAAATTTATGACATTGGGGGGTGATTTTCCAAGGGGCAAATTTTCTAGAAAATTCCGAGAAAATTTTCACGACACCCGGAAAAATCCAGGGATGGGGGTGCTTTTTTCCGGGTTTGAGAGATGAAAATCAGGCGCATTTTCCAAAAATTCCAAGAAATTTTTTATAGTACCTGGAAAATTCCAGGGATGGGTGATATTTTTCCGGTTTCGAGAGATGATGTAATGCGCAATTTGTTGAACTTCTTGGAACATTTTTTTTGTTACCCTGAAATTTCCTGGGATGAGGGATTTTTCCGGCTTTGAGAGTCGTCTCATTACCTGGAAATCTCTCATTCCTGGAAGTGCTCTGCACCAATTGTTCTGGCTAACAGAGATATCACTGTATTAAAATACTGTATCAATAAAATACTTAAGATAGTAAAGTGTGGCCAAATTACCTTGTTGTCATATAAAGTTTCAATAAAAAACTTAATGTGTAGGGTGTCTGTAAAGTCGTGGTGCAGTTTAAAGTATTAATAACTTAGGTTCTATAGGAGATAAAAACAATCTGTAAAATGCATTGGAGAAATAATTTATTCAAGTTTTCTTTATGACCAAAGAATTTTAATTATTCTATTTTGTTCTTTCTGTTTTTTTCCAGATAATCTGCCCCAACACTATATTGAATGGCTTCAATAGAAGAGAAGGTGAATTATATCCTCTGGTTAGCTGAGTTAAAGTCTTCCAGTTTGTTAATAACAACATTAACAGAATCAGTCTCTTTAAACTTCTTCATCCATCTTGTAATTAATTTCTGTGCGGTGTTTCCTTCTTGTAACGAGTTGTAAATTTTCTTCTAACCGCTGTTACAGACTTTAACTCAGCTAACCAGAGGACATAATTCACCTTCTCTTCTATTGAAGTCATTCAATATAGTGTTGGAGCAGATTATCTGGAAAAACAGAAAGAAAAAATAGAATAATTAAAATTCTTTGGTCATAAAGATAACTTGAATAAATTATCTCTCCAATGCATTTTACAGATTGTTTTTATTTCCTATAGAACCTAAGTTACAGTATTAAAATTTTAAACTGCACCAAGATTTTATGGAGACCCTAGTAAAGTGTCGGTAGCCATCTTACCTTGTTGTCATAAAAAGTATCAATAAGAGTAATGAAGCGTCTGGCCTGGCCCTTGGACCTCTGGTTGAGGATGGGGATGTCCTTGATGAAGATGGTATGGAACACATGACACAACTGCAGGTAGTCTGATGCACCAAGAGCCTATAACAAACACGATATACAGTATACAGTATTATGTGTTATTCTCAAAGTAGACCTGACTTGACCAAATGGGCAGAGACATAAGTGTAGTAGTAATCCCTTGTCCAAAGCGGGGGTTAGGTTCCTCGAAAAATGTGTTGGGCAAACTTAGCTTCTTATGTGAAAAATGGGGTGGCAGGATGGTGACCTCAAATGGACTCACTTATCATGTGAAATACATACCTTTTAAACATTAACATAATGCACAAATATGATAAAAGTAACATACTATAAACAATTAAAAATATTAATGATAAGCATTATATAATCATATTACTGTACTCACTGGTCCATGGTTAAGTTATTGTAGCGTAACTGATGACGACGATATGGTAGATGTTGTGAAGCCTTCTGATGACAGTGATTGATGAAGAAGACTTCAATAATGATGAAACCGGAATGATTTTTATTTCTTAAGCCGATGGATCATCGGCTTCAGGCTGCAGATCAGCAGATGATATTGATGATTGGGGTGACCGCAGCCTCGAGTAGAAGTCTGTTATTTTCTATGTAAATCTTTAAAAATTTCTCTGTATGCCACAAAAAGATCATCAAGGCCCCTTTTGAACTTTAAACTTCTCTCCATTATTGGATCTATGTAGAAACACATCTAACAGAGTTCATTTGCTTGCAGGAGGAATTCAGAGGTCACCTTAATTGTTAATTTAGGTTTTATGGGTTCCACTTCAGCATCATCATCATCATTTATACTGTCATCTGCTATTAGTTCTTCAAACTCCTCATTTTTTGGTTTTTGAAAATGTGAGTCCAACAGTTCATTCACCTCCTCTTTCTACGTGTCATCAAAACTGTCACCTCCAATTTCCTTTGCTAGTTTCACTATTTCTGCAATTTCCTTGTCAACTGTCGGAAATCCTGAACAATTTCAGGCCAAAGTTGCTGCCAGCAAGCTTTCATGGTGGAAGGCTTAACTTCATTCCAAGACATTTTTATATTGTCTTTGATGTTAAATGCCTTCCAGAATTCCATCAGTGTTTCATAAGCACCAGCATCCACTGCTTCAGTTACATTCCTCGTATAATATAACTTAAATGTCTTAACTCCTTGATCCATAGGTTGCAGAATGGAAGTGGTATTGGAGGGCAAGAGCATAACTTCCACATTGTGATGTGAGAATTGAAGCATTTCTGCATCATGACCAAGGGCATTGTCCAACAACAGCTACACCTTTAAGTAAAAATTCTTCTTCTTGAGATATTCCTTGACCTCATGTGCAAACAATCACTAAATATCACCTTAGTCACCCAGGCCTTTTTATTGGACTTCCAAACAACAGGCAAATGAAGCTTACGTATTTTTACCGTTTAACGCACGGGGACTTTCCAAATGGTAAACAAGCATGGGTTTGCAATTAAAATCACCAGCTGCATTAAACCCTGCAGCATCTTTTTGGGTCTTTGTAGTGTAGGTTCGGTTACCCATACATTTATAAAGGAGGCCAGTCTCATCAGCATCAAACACTTGATCCGGGGCATATCCTTTGTCCTTGATCAATTCAAGCAGCACTGACTTGATGTGCTCTGGATGATATTTCACTGCCCGTCTCGAAAGACGACTTCATCGAACTCATCAAACTATGTATTAAGGATTGCAAATTCGAATTCAATGGAGAATATTATGCTCAAAAATTTGGTATGGCAAATGGGTAATCCACTCTCACCTGTATTAAGCAACCTATATATGGAATTCTTTGAAAAGAAACTATTAAGTAATATTTTACCACCCTCAGCAGTCTGGTTTAGATATGTTGATGAAGTATTATGTCTCTGGCCATGTAATGAGGACCTAAAAGCTTCCCTGCCACAACTTAACAACTTAGCCCCCTCGATCAAATTCACTGTGGAATTAGAGCAAGACTGTAAATTGCCATTCCTAGACTGTCTGATACACAGAATAGGTAACACTTTTAAGTTCAGTATTTATAGAAAACCTACTAATGTGTGTTCATACATTCATTATTATTCTGCCCACCATAATAGAGTCAAACAGTCAGTATTTTCAACAATGTTTTTACGTGCCTTGAGAATTTGCAGTCCGGAATTCATCGATGAGGAATACAAATACACCTAGACCCCGACTTACGACTACGTGGACCGTCGGGACTTACGACCGCCGCAGATTTTTTATTAAAAAAAAAAATAATAATTTTTTTTTCAAATGACACACGCATTTTCTATACCGAAACGTTTCCAGTTAATGTAGTCTTCATGTATAATTAGAAAATTATGGGGGCCCCATGTGCATTCAGCTGACTACATTAAAGGTAAGTGCTGTCACACTGTAACCATTCCTTATTATTTATTACTTTCACTGTACTGTATCCATTCATCATTATTCATTACTTTTACTGTACTGTATTTCATTGTAGATTTTTTATTAATTATTATTTATTTATTTATTTTTTTTTTTTTTATCTATGTCGGACTTACGACCATGTCGGACTTACGACCTGGATTTGGGTCCCTAACCCCGTCGTAAGTCGGGGTCTAGGTGTATATATATAATATTGGCTCAAACCTTAAATACCCTAGATCTTTCATAGACAAATGCCTAAACATTACAGTGAGTTCTGCTATAACGCGTGTTTTGATAACGCGAATTTGCTCTAACGCGATTTATGAATTCGGAACAATATTTGTATAACGCGATCGCTTGTTTGCTATAACGCGATTTTTGCTTACTATTTCTCCAATTTTGTGGTATTAACTGTGAATATGGTAAAGAAGAATATCTTCAAGAAGCGTTCTGATGATAGAATTCCCGGTGATTATCGTAAAAGAAAGGATATAACACTTGAAGAGAAGCTCGATGTTATCAACCTCAAAATCACCCTTCTCCCCCATCAAGTTACATTCATATTTTTTCAAGGTAAAGTGTTAAATTTACTGTATGATTTCATTATTAGATATGAATGTAACATTTATTTAGACTGTGCTATCCTTTGTGTTAGGCTAACTACTAAATTTTTTCGATTTCGAGTAATCTGCACCTAACCCTATTTTCTCCATAAGCCCTGTTATTTCTATTACGCGATTTTCTATAACACGATATTTTACAAGAACACAATTATCGCGTTATAGCAGAACTACCTGTACTAAGAAAACTTTTTATAGAACTGATCCCAAGCCCACCCATGACCATAAGAATATCTTAATATTACCATTTCACAAAAATTTCTCACACATTCCTTCACAACTAAAAATCTGGAACGTCAATGTGGCATTTAAAAACTCATGCACTGTTAAACAAATGTTAATCAAGAACTCCCCCAACAACACAATTGGTTGCATTTATAAAGTTCCTTGCAAGGAATGTAATATGTTTTACTTAGGCCAGACAGGTAAAGATCTTGCAACTAGAATTAAACAACACAAATACAATGTTAGGACAGGCCAGGAATCCAATGCTCTGTTTGTTCATTTGAGGGATAACAAGCATTGCATTGACTGGGATAATGCCTCCTCAATATTACCATGTAATTCAATTGATAGTAGGAACATCATAGAATCTAGTCTTATTAAACATACCGAAGCATTCAACATGAATTTGAGTAACGGCATGTACAAGCTGGACAATTTTGTAATTAAGAAGATGTGACCAGGTGAGAAGGCCGGGTCACCTGACCATCTGACCTGACCACCAACCGTTGTGTGCTATTTAAAGATTAGTAGGGTCATTACCTAATACCTGACCATTGTGGACCTGGTCTCACCCTTCTCTGTATATATACACCTTGATTTGTATTTCTCTCTCTAGTCTGTACTCACCCCTGAAGATGTGAATTACACGAAAGCGCTTGGGAACTTCGTGTTTTCTTCTTTCCTTGTGGTTATCAGCATATACCTAGATCACGCGCACCTACAGTGATTTACTTGCATATATATATATATATATATATATATATATATATATATATATATATATATATATATATATATATATATATATATATATATATATATATATATATATATATATATATATATATATATATACACAGTCAACCCTCACTTTACGCGGTCCCACATTCCGCGTTTCCACGTTAACGCGGTGCCTTGCCAGAACCTAACGTGCTCACATTACGCGGTGCGTGAACCCCATTACGCGGAGAGTGTCCGGCGCGACGCTATTTTTAGATTCGCCCCACCCGCCTGCCTGCCTGCGCTCCTCGCCTCTCCCTCCTCCTCCCTCCGCTTGGGCAAGCCGCGCGGTAAGGTTGCGCAGTGTGTGTCTTTGTTGCGTTATCACTGACGTCATATGACGTATCGGACTGTGATTGGCCATGCATCCCTACCCCCCTCTGCTGCTAGCTGTAATTGGCTTAAAGTATTATGACGTGTCCACCCGGGGGAGGGAGGGAGGGAGGAAAGATGATCCTTGACCTAGCCGCGCCAGTTTCATCCCTCCACGCCAGACCGTGTAAACGTGCATCCATTGTTCTCTAAAATGGCTTCCGCCGGACCACCACCCCCAGAGAGAAACCTTTCCTTACCTGGACCCAGCGGCACTAAGCCAAAGAAGACACGACGTTCCTTAAGCTACGAGGTGAAGTATACCATCATCCAAGAGTTGGAGAAAGGAACAAGGCAGGTTGGTTTGGCGCGCCAGCATGGTGTGAATGAATCTACAATTCGAACAATAAAGAAGGATGCAGCCAAGATAAAGGAGCACATGAAGATCACAAAATCTACAGGTGCTTCTATGAACAAGTATTTTCACAACCAGGTGCTTCTCAAGACAGAAAAATTACTTGTGAGGTACTTGGTGCGTCAGGTGCGACGGAACATGGCGGTCGACACGCGCTCTGTTAAGGACTACGCACGTGAACTGTACATTGCAGTGGCACGAAAGATGGGAACTACAGAGCCCAAACCCTTTAATGCTTCCTCTGGGTGGTTACAGAGGTTTAATATCCGGAACAAGATCACCAATATAAACATTGGTGGTGAAGAAGTGAGTGCTGACCGTGCTGCGGCTAGGGAATTTCCTCCGTTTTTACGTGAGATTATGGAGGAAGGACAGTACACCGACGACCAGGTGTTTAACATGGACGAATCTGGTCTTTTCTGGAAAAAGCTACCTTCCAAGTCCTTCGTTGTAAAGAATGCCAGCAGGATTCGGGGCCGGAAGATGCAGAAGGAACGCATCACCGTCCTGTTTACCACCAATGCCTCCGGTACCAGTAAGCTCAAGTTATCGGTGATCCACACAGCACGCAAGCCGCACGCCTACAAAACCATGGACATGACCAAGCTAAATGTTCACTGGCTGACCGCACGTAAGGCGTGGATGTTCTCTACACTGTCCCTCTCCTGGTTTGATGACTGTTTTGTTCCCGATGTAAAGAAATTCTGTGAGCAACAGAATGTGCCATTCAAGATTTTGTTGCTGCTGGACAACGCACCAGGACACTCGCCCCTACTGTTAGATCGTCACCCCAACGTAAAAGTGGTCTTCCTTCCTCCCAACACTACGTCTATATTACAGCCCATGGACCAAGAGTTAATCTGTAATGTAAAAGCTGCATTCTCTACGAAAAAATTCAAACTCCTGAACGACTACACCAACACCAGGGAAGAGTTGCGCAACCTGAGTGACACCACCACCGATAGCAAGAGCGAAGAAGATGAGGATCAACAGTTGGCACAGCAAAAAATACTGTTCAAACAATTCTGGAGAGTATTTAACATCAAGAAAGCTGTGGACTTCTTGGTGGAGTCATGGGATCAGCTGTCTATTGCTACAATTCGTCACGCATGGAGACATGTGTTGCATGGAATACCAGGTGAGAGGAGGAGTCAATCTGTGACTGGCGAGGTTCAGACTGTTGCAGTAGCAGTGGACCTTGCCAGAGAAGCTGCGCAGACTGTTACAGTTCCAGGCTTTTCCGAGACCACCAACGACGACATCCTGGAGGTGATACTGGAACCTGATGTGACTACCGAGGAGATGGTAGATGATGATGATGACGACGTCAGTGAAGAGGCAGGTGGTGCGTCATCCCAAGAAGAATAACACTTATCCCATAGTAATGTTAGGGGTGCCATCGAGTGTATCGAGAAAGCCAAGCTCCTCCTTTCCGACGACCCTGACGCAAACAGGTATAAAATCTTCACTACCCAGCTGTTGCAGACTATGGAGCCCTACATCAAGGTGTATCACGACAACATCAACACCAGCCGTCAGCAAAGCATAACAGATTTCTTCGCCCGCAACCCACCACAGCCAGCCCAAGCCAGTGATAGTGACAGTGAAGATGACTTTGAGGGATTTGTCAGGGAAGCCCTGACAACTGTAAGTGACAGTGATGGTGATTCACCTAGTAATGGTGATTCACCTGAGGGCCAGTAATCTGCCCTCTGCCTCGGAACCAGCCTCCATCCTCGTATGCCGACCCATCTCTTCTGCTAACGTAAGTGTTCCACATAACTTTTAGTTTTCCTAACCTAACCTTTATTTTTCCTATGTTAACCTTTATTTTTCCTAACCTAACCTCTTCTATATTACTTGTTTTTTCATACCATCATAAAGTTAAGATAAAATTTTTACTACAACATAGTTGTGTGTCGTCAAAAAGTGGAGTTTGGGGGTCGGCCCGGACTCTATTTCAATTAATCCCATATGTTATGTTATTCACTTTACGCGTTCCTCACTTTCCGCGGGACCCTGCGGGTTACATTAACCGCGTAAAGTGAGGGTTGACTGTATTATTTTTTGCATTTTCGACTTATGACCAATTCGACATACGACCTGAACTTGGGTCCCTAATCCCGTTGTAAGTCGTGGACTGCTTGTACATATAAAATCACTTAATTTAAAAGAACACAAGAAATCGAATGACAAAATACAGTAAATGAAAGTAAAAAAATACGTCATCAAGTAAATACTGTAAGTCGGAGAACCCCTGTATACCTGTATACAAGTGTCTCTGGTAATTTAACTTACAGCTGTAGTAACCAACTAAAACACCCATGGTCTTGATACTGAATGTTTCACAGGGAGAGGCTTCTACTTTACAACAAACTCTAGGAAGTTCTTCATTCTACTTACTCTGTTACACAGTTCCTCAAATGTACTGTCCAATACACCACCGCAGGTCTTTTGAAACGTCACATTTCTACCATGATACGTGAGGGTGCGAGGGCGAACAACATCTGTTTCTTCTGCACTGAAGATCTGTAGAAATGATAAATAGTAAAATTTAGTATCCCTGAGCAGTTTACAACCCAGTACTGTAGTATTAGTAATGCATATCTAAGTCCACCTAACAAAAAATAATAATACAAATTAAAATGTACTATAGGAGTCTTCATTATCCGAGTATTCATTGTTCGTGGATCCGTTGTTACGAGCCCAAATTACAGCATTGTAGAACTACGTATACATAAAAATTCCTCGAACTTATGAGGATTCCACGGATGAAATAGGCGTTTGAAATTTCTACCTGCCTCCCATTCTCTCAAAGCTCATCCTTCTCACCTGCATCTCTAAGCCTTGTTTTGAAAGTATTTTTTTTTTTACTTTGTTGTGCATTTGGTGAGAGTGGTGGGATTTTTTTAGCCATGAGTTCTAAACCGAAGCAAAGTGGTGTACAGGTATCCCTGCATGTGTGAGAAGTGAACGTATGTACTGAGGAAGTGAGCTGTCTATCCCCCTATGTGAAGTCACGACATCTCTTTAGTCAGCTTAGTGACTGCTTGGATGAAATGTGTCGCATGTACAGTACAGTTCCTCCCCGACTTACGACCTACTCGACTTACGACCACCCGCACTTACGACCTGCCTCAGTTGTACCAAAATTTTTTCAAATTACGTATTTTCGAGTCCCAACGTCAGTGATTGCGCTGTGTACTGATAAAATTTTCATTTGTAATCCACTTTGACATGGCTGGCAAGCATAAAAGTGAGAGTTTTGTGGTGCTGAGAAAAAAAAAGAGACACCCATTTTAGATTTTCTATGTATTATTTAAGCATTTTTTACTTACGACCTGGATTTGGGTCCCTAACCCCGTCGTAAGTCGGGGAGGAGCTGTATACTGTACCAGTTAATGTGAGGACTAAATAAAATTATAATAATTGAAATAAAAGAAAAAATACTGCGTTGCCATTTGGCAATCATTTCACGAGACAGAGAACAACTGAGAGATCCTCCTAGCCGCTCCCCCTCCCCCGCTCTGTTAGCTAACTGCAGACCACTTAAGAAATGTTTATTACCTTTATGTTTTTGACCTTATGATATTAATTTTGTTTATTTTGCTTACACATTCTGTATGAACGATTGTGTGTGCTTATAACACAGTAAAAGAATATTACACATATCTCCCCAAAATTACAAGTTGAACAATAACATAGCCTACAGTTTAGCCTCCCCCACTTTGAGTGTTACTGCGTGGTGAGTGGCGACTCAGTTACACAATTACTGCACATACATGTTATCTCCATAGTACTATTCCTTGTTATTTATTTGTATTTCTTATTTTTATATTTATTGTTATTTTAGTAACGTCTCAATGAATTACTTTCACTGAAATGAGTGTGCGAGTTTGTGTGCACAGTTGGCCAACCGCGTGGTTAGGTAGCCTGCGTCGTGTCAACACACAGACTCCAAATGACTTTAAGTATCTTAAATAAGTTATAGTTAAATAATTTCATAAAATAATGTGTAAACAAATATTTAACATTTCTTATGTAAATAAATCTTAAAACATATCAAATAAAACTTTTTGAGAGTAATTAACAATGTGATGGACCTGATTAGATACTATTCCAATTAATTCTTATGGGAATTAATTCCCCTTTATCCGTGGAATCATTATCCCAGTCTTTTCTGGTCCCTATTAAGATCAGATGATGAAGACCCCCTGTGCAATAATGTCTTAAATGTATCTACAGTGATCCCTCGGTTAACAAAATTTCGGTTAACGAATTACCTTCCATAAGAATCTTCAATTCGGTTAACGTACTGTACAAAAATTCGGTTAACGAAAATTTTACGAAATCATGTCAACATGTTTTCGCTTGCTCACCAGCTAGAATATTAGTTCCCATTTGAGTAAATATCTAGAAGGTTGTACTTTTCAATAATTTTCCAAGTTTTATATTAAAATTTTTAGTAATTTTAACACTTATTTAACATAAATGCAGTACAAGAAACTAGTTTTTGGTGCGCCAATCAGCCACTTGACTCACCCAGCAAGGCGTCAGTTTGTATCTCTGGTCAGTGGAGGTAACATCTTGCTTGTGGCTCTCTTGAACATAAACTATTTTTACGTTTTTACAGTACTGTACAATTATTGGCCATTCTGAAATTTATTTTACATATTGACAATATATAGTGCAGTGCAGTGTTGATTTAAAGAAAATAATCTTGAATTACACCCAGTGAACTTAAAATTTTATGGGTGAGATGACGGCATGAAGCATGGGGTGATTTCTCTTCCATCCCCATTTCCTTCTCTTCTCCCTTCTCCTCCTCCACCCCCACTTCTAATTCCCATCATCATCATCAACCAGGAGCCTTCTACATACACACCTCAAAGTAAGTGTACTTTACTGCATTTATTTTTACTTTGTATGTAATTTACGGTGAGCTGGAACCAATTACCCAAAATCCCATTGAAACAATGGTTTCGGTTAACAAAATTTTCGGTTAACGAACGATCTTCTGGAACGAATTGTGTTCGTTAACCAAGGGACCACTGTATATATGTACAAGAGTAAAACATTATCATTTATGCTTTTGAAACTCTCTTTCATAGTTAAAAGAGGGATGCTGTGTATCTTCTTTGTACCCGGGGAGTCTACTGTTGCAAAATATGATGTGATACCAAGGTAGATCAATATTAAAATCATCACACAAGTTTACATTGAATCAGCATGTACAGTATACTGTACCTGTATAAACCATGCTGGTAAACAATTCAGCATGACAATATATCACCTCCTGGAGAGAATGTAAGGTGTAGAAAATGATATCTTGAAGATTGGGTTATGGAGCAGCAAGATAGAGAGAGGCCTTAAGAAGGTGTTATGAAGATGTTACAAATTGGTGAGGCATAAAGGCAGCTGTGGTTAAGATAGCAGTGAGTTGGTCTGGGCATGTGGAGCAGCAAATTTAAGAAGGAAAAATGAAGATGTTTGCGAGGTGAAAACAAGAAAGAAAAAAGAACAAGATCATTAATTAAGATGAAAAAGAATATGACAGAGAAGGTAGCAAGGGGGAAGAGTGGCATCACAAGATAGCGTGGATGAAATACATACCTTAAATAAAGCCTTAACTTCAGCCTCTGCATCACATTCTGACTTAACAAAGAAAGCTTTCTGTGACCCTGAGAGCTGCTGCATCCTATAGTCTATACCTGAGTCTAAGTTGATCACCTGAAATAATACTCTTGTTTAATATTCACAATTCATCCATGTCTCTACAGAATATTACAAGAGCTGCTTCCTCTACTCAGAGAAGGGCAACTCATAAAACACAGTGATGACTACAGTATCTCAATGTGGCTGTGCACCTTTACAGTAATACATAAAAATTAACAATTGCCTGTTCAATTACCTCTTGCCAAGCTGAAGCAAAAAAACTGTAACTTACAGTATATGATAACACAAAGTACCCATGAATGAGGTGGGAAAATCAAGACATAAAATAGTATGAAACTGAAAAGCATAAGGACAAAAACTTATGAGAAAACTTGAGATTATAAAAATTATTTGTGTTGATTTTGAGAATTTTGAACACAAGTTTTCTCTTGAACAAAATCAATACTAGTATTTTATGAAAAACTAGCAACAAATATATATTACCAAGAACATTAACTTACCAGAAGGGGGGGGGGGGTAACAATACTTGAATGTTTTTCTTTCAGTTTAATCCATCTTACCTATAAGTAAATACTATTTTCACGTTCCCTTTATTTCTGTATACACAGTACTTGCTGAACTAACCCTTTCCCTTTAAACAATCTTATTTGTGTAAACAAGTTGGATCAACTCCACACATCTTGTATCCAAACACGCCTCAACATAGTGTTTGATACTACAGTACATCACACACATGGCAGCTCACTCAACACTAACATGTTTAATTTTTCACATATTTTTAAGTTCAGCCTCAAAGATGACATGTACAGCACTGTACCTTGTCTTATTATCAGTCATGATGGTACACCAACTTACAGTCTTCTGAGTTTGTTTCCTGAACTTGGGTCGTACAGTAGTTAATGTACAGTCTACGGTCACTGTCCACATGCATTATCTTTCAGCTAAAACCAAGAGGTCTAAATAAAATTTTAAATTTCTGAAATTTAGTTTGAACTACAGTAACTTGATGTAATAAGGTATCATATATTCCATCCCCAAAGATGACCTTCAGAACCAGTCAACAATGAAACACGACACAGAACTATACATTAAGTACAGATACACTGGCACAGGTACTGATACATTCGGGAGCCAGTGCATGCCCAGTACTTGCCAAAAGTGGGTAAGAGAGACGTGACCAACCGCCCAAGCAGCTAATGAGCCGATCATTGGCGAAGAGGAAAAAAGTAAAAGAATAAGTAGATTTTGATAAAAAATAAAAATAATGAAGACAGCAACATGGAATTACTTACAATGTTCACTCTGGATGTCTTAACTTCCTGTAAGTGCATCATATTGTACAAATTCACCTAGAGTATACAAAATGTAACAGTCTTACCTCACAGTGAGACTTAAGTATAGGAATGAATGGTGAAAAGTTTGATCTCTGGAGACCATTTTTATACAAGTCATCTGGGTGTCGATTACTTGTTGCTATAACAACAATGCCGTTATTAAATAATTCTGTGAACAACCGTTTCAGTATCATAGCATCACCAATGTCTGTCACCTGTTGAAAGAATATACGATAAAGTTTAACCTGCAAGTAAGTAATATGAATAACAAATGTGAATTTAGTTATCATTTTGTTTTTTTCTATAATCAACCCAAAGGGTCATCATAAGATCAGGTACAGCTTTACTCTCCTCTAGGAGTCTCAGGATATATCTTACACATTCTATTGTATGATTGGTCACTTATTGAAGGCAAATGTGACATGTTTGTTAATATTTATGTCGAGATTAAAGTTGGACTTAAATGAAAGTATGCCAGGAGTATATTAAGGTTGGATGTTATATTTTGTTAAATTATGAAAGGCATTTAACCCCTTCACTATGGGGATACCACTTTTAATATTTTACTGCAATTGGCTTACACCAGACGATTTTATTCAGCACAGAGGGATCCCGTACACAAGTGGCTAAATAACCAAGGCCATATACTTGCCTTACTCAGCATGGCAGCTTTGTAACTTAGTTATAAAATACTGGTAGTACCCGGTAATTGATAAATTCCTCATCAGTACTGGTGAATGGTAATATTAAACAACAAAATTACAATGTCTGACATAATGTGTCTCACCTGGAATTCATCAAAACATATGAGCCAAGATTCATCAGCAATGGATCTAGCTACAGGTGGGATGGGGTCGTATGGTCTCAGATTAATGGTGTACGTTCCATCCGGCTCAAAGTACCGTGCCTGGTCTGGGGAGTGAATCTTCTTGATGTTCTTCTTCTCAGCGTGTATCCTCTTGTGAACATCTAACATGAATGAGTTGAAGTGCACCTGTTAAGAGAAGTGCTGTTATGAGTGTTATCAGAGAGAGAGAGAGAGAACATGGATGACTGAGCTGTATGAACATAAACAAATATACAGTAAATTCAGTAATAGATAATAAAAAAAGATGAAGTTAGCATTAATGAAATGAAGTTAGATGTCCTGGTTTTGAAATTAACATAGATGGAGGGTAAAGGAGGAGTCTGCTCAGGAAAAGTGAGATGTGTCAGGGCAACATTTCTGAAGGCAATAATTACTCAGGAATAAACTTAAAAGCTTTGGTTGAATGACATAACAGATAAATTTGAAGTATATCTTGGGATCCTTATATGGAAGAGGAACACTGACAGAACACATTTGTTACAGCAGTTAGAAAAACTCAAAATAACAACACAAGAGTGAGTGTTGGTGATGACAGCCTACACCAGCCCCAACACACTACAGTACAGTATACTATGCAGGTAGAGGCTCCTAGGGCCATGTGTTGAGAAACAAAGTAACATCTCAATGAAAATAAATCATGCCATAGAGCATTACATACCCTTCTTTTTCTGTTGAAGGGGGCACAGTCAAAAAAGAGATCCATCAGCCTGGTCTTGCCGGTACCAACAGTTCCCCATATATAAACACCACTGGGGGGAGTCACCACCTTCTGCCAGCCCAGAAACTTCTGCAACATGCTTGGTGGAGCTGGAGGTGTGTATGTTAACACCTACAGCAAACAACAATTAACACTAAGAATATAAATGTTACAAACAAGCACATCCAACACAGAAATTTATACAATAAGTTTTATAAAATTAAAATATTACTTGTTTAGTAAATCAGTCAGCATTTTTTCTTATGTAAATTGCATTTACATATAAACATCAACATCCAGCCCTGCTGACACCACAGAAACATTGTGTTAACCCTTTAAGGAGTACTGTAGTGTTGACCTTACATTAGACGAATATATTCACCTGAGGGAAACCCCTGCCACTCAATGGGTTAACAAGACAGAAATAAAGAATCACAGGAAGTATATACAGTACTTGTCATGAGGGCAAATATGTAATAATAAAAATATTATTACTGTACTGTATTGTATGTGATCTTGATCACAGATGCTGGGATACAATTATTGCAGTCAACACAATGTACAAAGAAGATACAGTACACAATTGATATAGTTTGGTTATAATAATCTTGAACAGACCAGAAGTTATAGAAAGGATATGAAGAGTTACCTGATGACCAGATGGCTGTCTCTAAATAATACAGTGTGTCAAGACAAACATTGAACACATCATCTCTGGAGTGAAGATAAAGGTCACCTCTAATCTACTACACATTACTGTACGTACTACAATGAACTGGGTAAGAAACAACTGAAATATATCCGTACTGTCCAGGGCTCCATAAATCATTTGACCTATTTTAAAAATTAATACAGTAGCTTCAAAAATATTATAACTACTGTAAATAAAACACACTGGTTTCTTATTCTATATGACAAAAAACATGTAATTTTTTTGAGAGCTGCTTTATGTAACAGCTGTTAAGTTCAAAATAATGCAATGACTTCTACATTACTCTAAGTATAAAAGAGTACATGTACAGTACAGTTTTTGTAACTTCCACACACTGTACCCAACAGTCATGGTAGGTAAGGCAATAAGACATTAATAATTCTGCAATACTGTACCTCTTCATAACAACGCTGAAGTTCGTCAACAACGTTCTTCTGATACTCATCATAAAAGAGTTTGTTTTCTGCAACATAGTTATTATACAAAGTTATTGGACCTTCTGGTTTCTTGGTTGTTGCTTCTTGGGCGACTGTTGTCAGAAAACAGAGGGAGGCGGGGCCACACACCACCCTCCTCACCACAAACATCCCTCTGTCAATAATGAGAACAAATTTAGAAACAAATATCTAAAATAATTTTTTTTCTCCATAGGACTATAAGAAGCAACCCAATATAAATCAACAATTAAAATTAAAGTGTTGTACACATCAATAATGATGTACACTTCTAACATTTCCTTGGTCGAATTGATTTATTGTTTACCAATACTGTACAGTATATACCTGCACAGTGGGGTGCAGTGGCCAAATGGATACAGGACTCATCTCCTATCTTAAAGATTGCTGGTTTGGTCCCAAGGGACTCCCAGTCTACACAGCTACTTGACTTTACATGTTTAGTGCAGCATTGTGGAGCATAGTTTAGTGTAGCATAGTGTAGTGTACTGTAGTGTGGTGTAGTGTACTGTAGTGTAGCATAGTGTAGTGTAGTATAGTATAGAGTAGCATAGTGTAGTGTAGCATAGTGTAGTGATGTGTAGTGCAGCATAGTGTGGTGTAGCATAGTGTAGTGTAGCATAGTGTAGTATAGTATAGAGTAGCATAGTGTAGTGTAGCATAGTGTAGCATAGTGCAGTGATGTGTAGTGTAGTGATGTGTAGTGCAGCATAGTGTAGTGTAGCATAGTGTAGTATAGTATAGAGTAGCATAGTGTAGTGTAGCATAATGTAGCTTAGTGTAGTGTAGCATAGTGTAGTGATGTGTAGTGTAGTGATGTGTAGTGTAGCATAGTGTAGTGTAGCATAGTGAAGTGATGTGTAGTGTAGTGATGTGTAGTGTAGCATAGTGTAGTGTAGCATAGTGTAGTGATGTGTAGTGTAGTGATGTGTAGTGTAGTGATGTGTAGTGTAGTGATGTGTAGTGTAGCATAGTGTAGTGTAGCATAGTGTAGTGATGTGTAGTGTAGTGATGTGTAGTGTAGTGATGTGTAGTGTAGCATGGTGTAGTGTAGCATAGTGTAGTATAGTATAGAGTAGCATAGTGTAGTGTAGCATAGTGTAGTGTAGCATAGTGTAGTGATGTGTAGTGATGTGTAGTGTAGTGATGTGTAGTGTAGTGTAGCATAGTATAGTGATGTGTAGTGTAGTGATGTGTAGTGTAGCATAGTGTAGTGTAGCATAGTGTAGTGATGTGTAGTGATGTGTAGTGTAGTGATGTGTAGTGTAGCATAGTGTAGTGTAGCATAGCGTAGTGCAGTGTAGTGTAGTGATGTGTAGTGTAGCATAGTGTAGTGTAGCATAGCGTAGTGCAGTGTAGTGTAGTATAGTATAGACAAGTATACAGTCGTCCCTAATGGCCAGTCATGCTTGTGGTGGAGGTACACAATATAAACCCCCATTAAGCATATGTTCCTTAATAAAATATCCGGTAAATATTCGTTTAATGGCTGTGGCGGCTCCCTTAAGTTATGAGAATACGGTTTTTTTCTGTGTGTGTTTAGGTGTGTTTTACTCAAATCTGACCTTCATATTTTTGGAAAATAAGCGGGGTTTTTTTAATTAACATTTTGTTTTACTTTTTGGACAAAATTCACTCATTTGCAATAAGAAATAAAGGTCTGATTTAAATAACACACTAAAATACACAAAAAAACCATATTCTCATAACAATTCCAACTTCCAAATCACTGTTGAAACCTAACCTAACCGGGAATAACTAAATACGAAACTCTTGCCGCAGCCATTAAATGAATATTAACCAAATATCTATCAAACTATTCGTCTATAGTATATATCTCACACACCTGGGAAGCTCTATTTGTGTCTCTGGTAACTCAACAACTTGCGTAATCTGTAAATATCAGCAAACAAATTATCTAATTAACACTATTCAACAAATTACCTGTAGTATTTTAGTTCCTCCATATAATAAATAATTGACATAGGTAATGGCGGCAAGAAAATGTATTACCTGTAGTGCATAATGAAGGTAGAGAAAGTTTAAAGAGAGAAGGTCATCATCACCCACCACCATCACTACAACAGTAACAAGGATCAGCTGGCCGGCGGGTTCGTTTCAGCCACCACTCGAACCCCGACTCCCGACCCCTGAACCCCGACTCCCGACCCCTAAACCCAGACTCCCGACCCCTGAATCCCAACTCCGAATCCCTAAGCTCCGACTCCATCCCCTGCACTATTTGAGACTGTGTGTGAGAAGGACCTAGGTGTGTATGTTGACAATGAGCTGAAGTTCTCGGGCCATTGCAAGAAGAAGGTAAATCATGCAAATAAATTATTGGGTCTTTTAAGAAGTTCGTTCAGATATCTAGACGGTCTGTCCCTCGTAACGATCTTCATGAGTGAAGTGCTTCCCCATCTGGAGTACTGTTGTAGTAGTGTGGGGTTCAAGGTTGTTTGGTTCTCACTCAGGATGGTGTGGAGAAAGGAAACTCACAATGTGCTCTCCATATACATGTTGTATTGGATGTGCAATACAGCTTGGTGCTGGGAAGGCAGCATGGTTACAAGCGTGATGAAGAGAGAGCTGGTTGGTGAGGATGCTCACAGTAGAACAGCTTGTAGGGGTATCGAGATATTAATGTTGTCTAGCACTCAGGATGGAAGGAAACTCTAATGTGGTTTTCTTGTATAATATAAGTTATATGACAGACAGTCTGGTGCTGGAGGTGCCGTGTGGTGAGGGGCCAGCGTGGAGCTTGCTGGAGGAGGTGTTGCTTGTTCAGGAAGATGGGCAGAATGAGAGTTGGTTGGTGAGGAAGCTCAGAGAAGGACAGCTGGTGGGTCGCCATGCTTGCTGGCGGGAGCGAGGACCGCCAGGCAGGCGAGGAGAAGCGAAGGCAGCCAGGCAGCGGCGGAGGAGGAGGTGTTGCTTGTTCAGGAAGATGGGCAGAATCAATCTCAATGGAGAGACAGAGCTTATATACCCAGCAGCAGCCGCCAGTCCTCTATGAATCATGTTGGGAAAACCCAGAAAGTTGCCGGTGACTAGTTTCGTTGCTAAGCAACCGTAACATCTGGCGTCAGCTCTCGCTTGGTTGCTAGGAGACGGCATGTCGGAATGCGGTAGCAGGTGGTGGCTGTGGCTACGCAGTTGTAGGGGAGACGTCCACTACAATACTCCCCCTTCCCTCCAGGCGGTGTAGGAGACTTGTTGTCTGTAGAGTTGCTTAGCACATGTGAGGCAGACCGGGCGGTGCATGCCTCATGTGAGACAACGGCGATGGCGTGATGAGCCGATCGCTGAAATACAACTGTCTAGATACACACTATCTGTGGGAGAAGGGAGAAAAAGGGTGTGTGGAGGCGATGAATGTTGTGCTTCCCTCACGACAGGTACAGGGTCGTCAGATGCGCCTGCTGGGGTGTGTGTGGGCCTGGGTCAGGAGCAGGGGCTGCGTCAGCAGAAGCGGATTAGGGCTCGTGACAGCAGCTGGGTCCACGACAGCAGCAGGGTGCAGGACATTAGCAGGGAGTACCTGAGGGAGAAAAGAGGGGGTGTGGAGGCGATGGATGTTGTGTGCTTCCCTCACGGCAGGTACTGAGTCGTCAGATGCGCCTGCTGGGGTGTGTGGGCCTGGGTCAGCGTCTGAGGCAGGACGGGTGTGCTGGGGTCGTAGGATGTGGTGCTTGGGGCAGGAAGAGGAGCCGGTGTCTGCTTGAAGACTGGGAGCATCAGTGTCTCCTCCATCCTGTGTGAGTGCTAATCTCCGGGAGTCACCATTTGTAGGGGTATCGAGATATTAATGTTGTCTAGCACTCAGGATAGAAGGAAACTCTAATGTGGTTTTCTTGTATAATATAAGTTATATGACAGACAGTCTGGTGCTGGAGGTGCCGTGTGGTGAGGGGCCAGCGTGGAGCTTGCTGGAGGAGGTGTTGCTTGTTCAGGAAGGTGGGCAGAATGAGAGTTGGTTGGTGAGGAAGCTCAGAGAAGGACAGCTGGTGGGTCGCCATGCTCGCTGGCGGGAGCGAGGACCGCCAGGCAGGCAAGGAGAAGCGAAGGCAGCCAGGCAGCAGCGGAGGAGGTGTTGCTTGTTCAGGAAGATGGGCAGAATCAATCTCAATGGAGAGACAGAGATTATATACCCAGCAGCAGCCGCCAGTCCTCTATAAATCATGTTGGGAAAACCCAGAAAGTTGCCGGTGACTAGTTTCGTTGCTAAGCAACCGTACCATCTGGCGTCAGCTCTCGCTTGGTTGCTAGGAGACGGCACGTCGGAATGCGGTAGCAGGTGGTGGCTGTGGCTACGCAGTTGTAGGGGAGACGTCCACTACAAGCTTGTGGGTCGCCGGCGAGAGAGAGGACCGCCAGGCAGGCGGAGGAGGAGCGAGGGCCGCCGGGCAGCGGCGGAGGAAGAGGTGTTGCTGGCTGCGGCTGTAGGTAGAAAGAGCAGGTCACAACGAGGTCTGGTCTTAAATAGCGGGGGTTGGCGTGGCTTAGTAGTTGACCCCCGCTCCGTGATGTATGGCGGCGCTGGTTGACCCAGACCACGAGGCATACACTGGGGAATTGGTGGGGTCGGCTACTCAGCGACAAACAGCGTTTGTAGGGGAGAAATCCACTACAACCCCGTCTGGTCCCCGAGATATGCTAGGTTTGTCAGTTGGTTGAAAATGTTCAAAGGAGGGCCACCAGACTGGTGCCTGCCCTTCGGCACCTCAGCTACCCTGAGGGATTGGAGCGCCTGAACTTGCCTAGCTTATACTACAGACGGGCAAGGGGTGACCAAATTGAGGTGTATAAGCATCTCAAGGGGCACTACTCAGTCGAGTGTCCTTACTTGGAGCTGGCAGGCGCTCGCCCCACAAGGGGTCACAGCTCAAGATTGAAGAAGCAGCAAATCCAGAAAACTATGCGGGCAAACTTTTTCAGAGTGAGAGTTGTGAACTCTTGGAACAATCTACCAGAAAGTGTTGTGACGGCACGGAGTGTGAGCTCTTTCAAGACCAGACTTGACCAACACTGGAGCGGGTTCAGGTACATTCAGGAGCCGGTGCATGCCCAGTACTTGCCAACAGTTCGTAACAGAGACGTGACCGATCGCCCAAGTGGCTAACGAGCCGATCTTTTGTGAAGAGGATAAAAGAAAAGGAAAAGTAATCAGAGACGTGACTGATCGCCCAAGTGGCTAACGAGCCGATCAGTGATGAAGAGGATAAAAGTTAAAAAAAAAGGCAAATAAATTATTGGGTCTTATAAGAAGGTCGTTCAGATATCTAGACCAAGTAAGAACACTCGACTGAGTAGTGCCCCTTGAGATGCTTATACACCTCAATTAGGTCACTCCTTGCCCGTCTGTAGTATAAGCTAGGCGAGCTCAGGCGTTCCAATCTCTCAGGGTAGCTGAGGTGCCGAAGTGCAGGCAGTCTGGTGGCCCTCCTTTGAACATTTTCAACCAACTGACAGTCCATAGCATATCTCAGGGACCAGATTGAAGAAGCCTCAAGTTCAGAAATCTATGAGGGCAAACTTTTTCGGAGTGAGAGTTGTGAACTCTTGGAACAATCTACCAGAATGTGTTGTGACGGCACCGAGTTGAAAATCCAGCCAGGGAGAAGGAGACGAACCAACAGCAGGGGTGATAGGAAGAAACTGGTTCACAAATAGGGTGGTGGACGAGTGGAACAAGCTTAGCAACTTTGTAGTAAGTGCGGGAACTCTGGAAAGTTTCAAAAGGAGGCAAGATAGATTCATGGATGATAGAGAGTGGTAGTAACTCTCGACAGGAGCTGCCATGCACAGGCCAACCGGCCTATTGCAGACTCCTTATTTTCTTATGTTCTTATGTATGTGACAACAATATCAGGCAGGAGGTCGTGTTCCTGAAGGGCTCGGATGAGTGACCCTCGCCACTGTCTTCTAGATGGAGGTCGGCCTCGGACAGCAGGAGTCAAGTTGGCTTGGACATAGTTGCCCCGCGGATCCCGTAGAATGGAAACGGCAGTTTTTAGGTAAAACTCCTGGACACGATCCTGTAAGAGGGAAAGACCAAGTTCGGTATAAAGAGAAGTAGAGCGTGTCCACTGAGGAGCCCCAAGGATACGAGCAGCATTCCTCTGGATAACTTCGAGACGGTTGACAGCAGTCCGACTAATGTTGACGAGGGCAGAGGCGGCGTAGTCGACACAGGAACGGACAAAAGACTTGTACATGGTGAGAAGTAAAGGGATGGTGGCACCAAGGGAACCCCTGCACATGGTAGAGAGGGGAGCGTGAAGGCAGTTGATTTGAACATGGAGAAAATATCAGTCGTATGATACCTAAAAAAAAAAAAAAAATAAAATAATATAATTTTTGAAGATGATTAATGATATTTTAAAAAGTATACAAAATATAAAAGAACTTCATAGTAATATATTTAAGCACTTATTTTCTATTTTATATCCACTATAAGCTCTCATTGTAGTATTGTGTTTGGGAGTCACGGCTCTTGAGAGTCACTCGGTCAGGGAGTTGGACGAAAGACTTTTTGTGTGTCGAGCTCCAGAGAAAGTTACATAAAACACACACACTTTCACCCCAGAAGAAGGCCTTATTGGTGGTGTAGTGGTAAGACATTTAGCAGGAGACAAGATGTGGGAGGTGGTTGGTAAAGCGGCGGTGGTGTTGCTGGCGGCCCGTGTGTGTTGGTCCCTCCTGAAGGGGGTCTACGGCTCCTTCCTGGCGGCGGCTCTCGGCCTTCACCTTTCTCTCAAGAAAACTGGTGACTGGGCTGGTAAGTTGGTAAATTTGCATTGTCTCACTCTTCTTTGTTAGAAAGTCAAAAATATATTTTTCTAGTGTATTTGTGTGGTTAGACCGAATATGACCTTCATTTCTGGCAGAAAAAAGCCGTTTTTTTCGATTTTTTTTCGTTGAATGTTTGCCGAAAAAAATCACAGCAAAATACATCAAAAAACACTAGAAAAACAAAAACCTAACCTAACCTAACCTAACCTAACCTAACTGACTCTCAACATATGATGGAATCACCTACGGTAGTTCTTATTGGCCTGGTTCTTGTTCGTCGTTGTATTCTGGGATTCTTACACAAGGCCACATATGTTGGTCTTTGTGATATTTACATTCAGTCTTGCTCGTAGTACACTTTACTGAGGTTGGAAGAACACCATGCGATCAAAAAAATGCTATAGTTTCTATGTTTTTTTCCCAAAAACTCGAATTCAGCTCCATATACTTTAAGTGACACCCATCGCAGACTTCCATAGTCGGAACTGAACTTGAATTTCAAAATATGAGACCCAAAATAAAACTCGAATTTGATTGAGCCAAATATACTGCGAATTAAACCCAAAATCATTTTAATTGGTTCCAAAAGCAAAAACGCTTTTGATTGGCTGCGTGACGTGTACGGGAACGCATGCGCGTGATGATTTATGAAGGAGACACGCAGTGTTGGAAGTGAGGCAGGCGATAATGGAGGAAGATTAATGGAAGAAAATAGAGATAATTTTGGATATGCTATCTCCGTTATTATACATTTCTGCCGGTAATGTAATAGATGAAAATTATCTTATAATTAGACGTCTTATTCAAATATGATAATAGATTACTGGTAGGAATGAACGGTGTGTAAGTGCAATAATACTGAAAGGTAAGTTAATCTATCCTCTAAGAAGACTGGTGAATGTTTTTTTTTTTTTTACACGGGAATTAGCCCACCCGGGCACAGGTCAAATGACCCACAACGGAGCCTGGGGGACGAAAAAAAAAGAACAGAAAGAAATTGTAATTATAGAAAAAAAAGTTGTACTGTATTAATCTACACCACGAAGATGCCGGAAAACCAGCTTTTTAAAGTGAGACAGATTGTAAGAGCTTGGAAACACAGAAGAAGGCAGAGCATTCCACAGTTTGGCTGTGTGAGGAAAGAAGGAGGTACTATAACGGGTTATTCTAGTGTGACCGACATCCACAGAGAAACGGTGGGCACCGCGGGCAAGACGTGTGTTACGAATCCATGGCCTTGCCGGCGGTACACAGGATGCCAAGTCCACCGAACATTGCCCATTAAAGTACCTGTAAAAGAGAGAGTGAAGCAACGTTGCGGCGAAGAGAAAGGGGAGAGAGATTGTCGACTAAAGGAGGAGAGTTAATAAGACGAAATGCCTTTGATTTCACCCTATCTAACAGTTGGACAGAAGAAGAGCCACCCCAGATATGAGAGCAGTACTCCGTTAGGACGAATGAATCCCCTATATACTTGAAGCAACTGCTCAGGAGTGAAGTAGCTGCGGCATCTGTACAGCATTCCCAACTTTCGGGAGGCAGCTTTAGTTATACTAAGGATGTGTGATTTCCAGGACATATTGGAGGAAATAGTGAGGCCTAACATATTTATTTCAGAATTTGGGAGGATGATAGTGTCCTGAAATGTAATTGGTGGCTGAGGGAAGACTGGTGACTGGTCTGGTAAGGAAGAGAAGACTGGTAACTGGTCTGGCAAGTGAGAGAAGACTGGCGACTGGTCTGGTAAGGAAGAGAAGACTGGTCTGGTAAGGAAGACGAAGACTGGTCACGGGCAGATCCAGGAATATCAAAAGGGGGTTCCAAGAAGTTGTAGGTGGGAGAACCTGGGGAGCTCAGTGAGCCAGTCCAGCTGGGGCGCGCTAAAACCCCCACAAATTTATTTTGAAATCTGACCAATATCATGGCCATTTTGAAGCCATGTGCACAGATGAGATATTCTGAAGTAAATAGTAATTACTTTTTACTGTACAAAAATACTTGAGAACAATACTGCATTAAAGAAAATTTTTTGGAGTTTTCTGATGAAAAAGGAGGGTCTGGACCCCCCAGGAACCCCCTCCCCCCTTGAATGTGCCCCTGGGTGACTGGTCTGTTCAGTGAAGAAAGACTGGTGTTTGGTCTGGTAAGTTAACCTCTCCCTCAACCAAACCCAACTTAACTTATCTAACTTAACTCAAAAGTATTCTAAGAGCATTAGGTAGAGTTACTGTTAGTCCAAAAGCCATCACTTAAAGCAGTTGTAGGGAACTTACCATATACTGTACTGTACGTAGTTCCTTTTTATTTTGAATAGGCTACTTTACTGGTCACACTAGAGTTTTCCGTGCACTAAATCCATGATAGCATTTCATCCACAGGCAGTAAGTCAACGCTATGATCCGCACAGTTTGAGCTCGGTTGGAAAGTGGGATGGTTTCATTGTATGTTTCTATGGCAGCATTAACCGCAAATTTTAACCCAACGTACCGTGGATTTTCAGACTCTCCGTATCGTTCCACTTTCGACAGCAAATAAGTTGTCGCTGTAGAGACAACTTGAGGAGTTCATTGAAAAATCAACGCTACGGTGGATTTATTCTCGGTAGAAAGTCTAGTGTGAAGGCAATGGCATGACAGGCTGTTTTGGGCTATTTTGCCAGTCCATTGTTTATATAATAGAAGTACAGTGACCCCTCCATTAACGAACTCAATCCGTTCCAGAAGGTTGTTCGTTAACCGAAACCATTGTTTCAATGGGTTTTTGGGTAATTGGTTCCAGCTCACCGAAAATTTCCTAAATTCATCAAAAATGGTAGAAAAATTCACTTACTTTGAAGTGTGTATGGAGAAGGCTCCTGGATGATGATGGGATTTAGAATGGGGGTGGAGGAGAAGGAAGAAGAGAAGGCATTGGGGTGGAAGAGAAGTCACCCCATGGCGCCATTTCACCCATTATATATTGTCAATATGTAAAATATATTTCAAAATGACCAATAATTTGCTTGGAAACACAGAAAAAAAGCGTTTAGTTCAAGAGAGTCTCAAGCAAGATGTTACCTCCAGTGAAAACAGAGAGACTAACTCCTGTTTGCTGTGTTAAGAGGCTGGATGCCGCTCATTAAACTAGTCACTTTACCTTCAATTATATTCAATAATTGTTAAAATGACTAAAAAATTGAATATTAAACTTTTAAAATTATTGAATAGTATAAACAACTTGATATTTACTAAAATAGTAAGGAATTTAAGCCCTAGAACCGATTAATGTATTGGCGGACTGATACTAAAGCTGGTTGCCCGGTCAGTGCAAGCAAAAACATGTTGAGGTCGGTTCGTAAGAACTTCGTTTACCGAATTTTTTTTGGTTAACCGAATTGAAGATCCTTATGGAAGGCAGTTCGTTAATCGAAATTACGTTAACCGAGGTGTTCGTTAAACGATGGCTCACTGTAATGATATTATAGTACAGTATTTATTGTAGTACTGTACTGTATCCAAAGAAAAACATGCTTATTTATGTGCAAAAAAGTAATTTTTTAGATTTTGATTATCTTTTTCTCTTATACAGTATTTTTAATTTCTTTTTACTCTTATTTTTTCGCTCCCCAGGCCCGTTGTGGGTCTATGACCTGTGCCCGGGAGGGCTATTTCCCGTAAAAAAACAACAAAAAAACGCCCTAAAAAATTATCCAACATGAGGGATAACAAGGATAATATCCGTGTTGATTGCCTGTAACTATGTAGCCAACTCACTACCCAGTAGAACTCAGAGCAGGTGATGCTGAGCTGTGAGTCAGTTTATAGTAGAGGACATAATTGGATATAGAGTGTTTGTGTTTTAATGATAGTTTCATACAAAACATGACGAGTTTCTTCTATGACGCTTTTCTTGCATTTTACGCATATCCGATATATATATTGAGTTGAAAATCAGATAACTACTAGAAAAGGTATTATTGCACTTGTTACTACCAACTGAATGTCAAGAATTTTATCTGGTACTTTATTACAGTATTATTGTTAAAGTCATCCGGGGAATCTTAGGGGGGGGGGGAGGCAAAGCCCACAGTTAGATTAGGATGGTTAGGTTAGATTAGTTTTGATATCTAAATACGGGGATGACCAAAACTATAGTTTTACCTTTTGTTTTTGTAATCAATAGCTTAGACATTTCTAAGACACTTTTCTTCTATGACGCTTCCCTCGCAAACAACCTAGAACTGAGATGCGGGGATCCGTTCTGTCGAGGGTTTAGATGTTAACGCCCTCTGATTCTCTTAAAGAATTACTGTCAGGTGGAAAACTTGCACTTTCACCAAGGATATTGACCAAGATTATGGATACTTGTAACAAAAAATGTCTATTTACAAGTATTTACACTGATAGTTGGCATGAAGACAGTGCAGAGTAACATAAACATATGTGGTTATGGAAGTGCCGGACTGTCGGCCGGAACAAATGTCGGGAGTGTAGACACTGGATGTCAAGCGTGGGGTCTTGTATATATACACGGCACAGCTGGTAAATTGGCGTCTTCTCAACAATAAGTGTTAAGTAAGCTAAAACGACTAATAATTTTAGTATAAAACTTAGAAAAATATTGAATAACATAACCTTCTTGATATTTACTCCAATGGAAACGAATATAAGCCCTAGAACCGATTACTGTGTTGGCGGACTAATCTTCCAGCTGGTGAGCAAGCCAAAATATGTTGACATGATTTCGTAAGAATTTCGTCAACTGAATTTTTGTTCGTTAACCGAATTGAAGGTAATTCGTTAACTGAGGATCACTGTATATGCAGTACAGGGAACTAGTTTTTTGTGCGCCCATCAGCCGCTTGGCTCAGCCACCAGGCGTCAGTTTGGCTTTGTTGACAGTGGAGTGAACATCTATTTTGTTGGTGTCTTGAATAATTTTGCATTTTTCATTGAAATTATTGATCATTCTGAAATTTAGTTAACATATTGAAAATATATAGCGCAGTGCAGTGTTGATTTAAATAAAATACCTGTAATCTTGAATTACACCTAGTGAACTTATAATTTTATTGGTGAAATGACGGCATCTGGCATGGGTCCCCTGAAAGGTGATTTCTCCTCCATCTCCACTTCCTTCTCTTCTCCCTTCTCCTCCACCCCCACTTTTAATTCCCATCATCATCAACCAGGAACCTTCTACATACACACCTCAAAGTAAGTGTAGTTTACTGCATTTTTTTTTACTTTGTACACTTATGTACTTTTCGGTGAGCTGGAACGAATTACCCAATATCATATTGAAACAATGGATTCAGTTAACAAAATTTTCGGTTAACGAACGACCCTCTGGAACGAATTGTGTTCGTTAACCGAGGGACCAATGTACTCTAAAAAGACTAAAATTTTATCTCTTGTACAAAATATATGATGTCTATATTCAAATTATTCGCTGTCTTGCAAGGATTCCAGCAATGTAATTTATATTCTGCTAACTTTAGACTGTGCCATTTTATGTCAAGCTTAGTCACTTTTATTGGCCTCCAGAACCTAACCCTATTTTCCCCATTAATTACATGTAATTATATTTTTCGATTTAGTATACAGTAGAGCAAATATCCTTAGACCCTATCTCGTGATATACAGTATCCAGACCCCACTGTACTCTAGAGTCAAATGAAATCCCCGTCGTGATGTACAGTATTCTTATTTTTTATTTACTGTGACATGTTTGCTTGTGTTTTGTTATTGAAATTCTTTATAATTTTTTACATTTTAATGTTAATAAGGAAAAATAAGAAGTAATTTATTAATACTGTAGACTCGTTAGCAAATTTCAACCCACCGTACCGTTGATTTTCAGACGCTCCGTATTGTCCCACTTTCGACAACAAATAAGTTGTCAGTGTAGAGACAGCTTGAGTTTGTTGAAAAGTCAATGCTACAGTGGATTTATTCAAGGTAGAAACTCTAGTGTGACTGCAGCTTAAGACACTGGCTGACAATGTTAAACAAAAGTTTGTTGACTTAATATCAGAACTGATGTCCATTATTATGAAATACTATTCTAAATTTTCAATGCCTGATTGAAAACCTTAAGGAGACAAATTTATTTATCATTTCACTACTCAATACCTTACAGTACTGGCCATTTGGGTGGTTGGTCTCTTCTTTGTTACTTTGTGAACCTTATTGTCCAGGAAACTCATACCCAGAGAAATCCTGCCATGTATTTTTAGTGTCACACTGGATAACACCCTTCTCACATCTGTCCTGGGCTGAGATTCTGTACAGGTGTTAACACTTTACCACCAACACTTTTATTCTATTGTATAATTTCTAGGGAAAATTACTACTGAAATTAGGTATAATTCCAGAAGAGCTCTGTCTGAATATTGTGTAGTACATGGAGTAGTTTATGTCCTTGTTTTATTTATACTCTACCATACTGGAATATAAACTGTAGATTATATTGTATCTGTTTTATTACAGTTGTTACGGGAGCTACAGACGGTATTGGCAAAGCTTATGCATTTGAAGTAAGTATTTTGATGAAGTAGTATTATGAAATAGGAAGTTTTAGTTTATACAGATGACCTGAAGATTAGGCACCCCAGCATATTTCACCTGAAGATTAAACACCCTGATGTTGCTTAAGGGGGTTAGGTTAGGATTAGGGTGTATTCAGGTGAAATAAGCTGAATGTAGGAGACCATATAATACTCTCTCCTAAGTTTGTTAGTTGGATCATTTTAGAGTAGTTAGTGTAGACCTGTGAAAATGGGTAGTTACTGTAGGTCATATTATATGATTCCAGAGTTTGGTCTCGGGTGGATTAATTCATTTTTCACCAGTAAAGGAATGTGTCACTTTTTTGTATTACTAGCATGATAGAAGAGCTTATAACTAACCATGATATTGTAGTTATTCTTCTTTTGTTGTTGTAAATACTGTAGTGGTAAGTTGAGAATTACAGTGTATGCAAATGTTAATACAGGAAGTGTTTTGCATTTTTCACAGTGATCAGTATTTAGTAAGTTTGCTCCTCCTTAAAAATCTCCATATTCTGAAGTTGTACGTACAGAAAATTTATATGTCCCAATTTATCATCTGGGGTAATGTCACTCACACCTGTTAGTATACAGTATTACAGTACAGTACTGTACAGGTATATCTTTTTCCTCCTGTTGGGGGTGGGAGAAACATGGTGCAACCTTTGTGTTAAGGATCCAGTTTCTGAGTTGAGATCATGGGCATTACTGTATGTGTTGTGATGTTTGTTTGTGTGTTGTACAGTATATATTGTAAGTGTGTGTGTTTATAATAAAAAAAAATAATAATTAACGGTTTATTGAAAGAGCATGGCAGCAGGAAGGCTGAAAATATACAGTTACATAATTGGGGAATGGGTCTTTTGATTTACAAACAATATACAAATAACATAAGTGATACAAATATGATATATAATAATTAGGTGGGGAGAAGCTCAAACTACAGGGCATTTCAACATAGTGTATATATGTGTGTGTTGTACAGTATGTGTATTTTTGGTTGTGTGAATGTGTTTATGTATGACTCGAGCCTTATCCTGTACTGTATTAGTCAACAGTTACTTGGCATCATTATTTCTCTGTACAGTACAGTAGTGTAGAGCAGGGGTTTTCAAACTATGGGTCCCGACCCTTCAGTGGGTCGCGAAATAAATAAATTGGGTCGCAAAATAAAAATGGGTCGCGAAAATAAATAAGAAAAAAAAATAAAATGGGTCGTGAAAATAAATAAGAAAATAAATATAAATGCACCATAATTTAGGCTTGGTTATTGTAATGTACAGTCTAGGAAGCGACTGCAAGGAGAGCATTTCCTGATTCTTTCTTTACCTCTCATGTCATCCGTTTTGCGCATTTCATATCATTACACTTAGGTTTAATGGGTCGCAATTCAAATTGTTGTTCTGGTTGTGGGTCGCAGTAAAAAAAGTTTGAAAAACACTGGTGTAGAGTATATCTCTCACAATATGTAATTGTAGATGACCAGTGTACAATAATTACTAGTTTATGCTCATAATACTGAATTTATTTTGTCTTCTCTTTTCCTAGCTGGCCCGTCGAGGCCTCAAGATTGTGTTAGTCAGTCGGAATCCTTTTAAACTTCAGAATGTGGCTGCAGAAATAAGTAAGATATCCTGTTGTCAGATGACTAAGAAAACCTTCATCATGTTCAACACAAAATATCAGATATATAACATCTAAATATATTCTCAAATGTTTTATGGTTTTACTTCTTCTATACTGTACAAGGAAAGTACAGTACTGTATTTCAGTATTATTTCCAGTAACTTTATTTATGGACTTTACAAACTTTTCAGGCACTAAATATGGTGTTGAGACAAAGATTGTTGATGTGGACTTCACCAAGGATGACATTTATGACCGACTACAGAGAGAACTTGGGGAGATGGACGTTGGTGTGTTGGTGAATAATGTGGGTATGGGCTTTGAGCACCCTGAGTACTTTAATGAACTTCTTGACTGTCAGAAGTGAGTATCTAGTGGGTCTTTAAGAATATATTTACAACTATATCAATTTCAGGTGTACATTAAATCAGGTCTATATTTTTCTTTTATATTTTTTTACAGCTGTTCAGGAATACATGATAATGTTTAGTATACAGTAGTTCTGAAGACTTTCTGCTTTGTTACATAGTAGAACTTTTCAATTCCAGCAGCCTCAGGCCCCAGCAGTTACAGCTATTTTAGTATACTGTTTTTGGAAATCCTCAAGTTTGTCTAATAGTAATTCCACTTATTCTGCACTTGAGAGAGAAAGATGTTAATAGTTTTAGGCAGCACCACAGGGGCCCCCACTGGTTAATGGTCTTTTTGAAGACATAATGGTGTTATATTTGGGGGGAACCAGAAGGCCCACTTTTTGGGTGAAGTGTAACTATTTCTGGTTACCTGAGACTTGTCGATGAGAGATAACTTCAGTCACATTAATAGAAAGTTTATAGGTTAAGTTTGTAAACCCAAATAGTCTTTTCTCCATTTATTTATAAAAATAAAAATTATGCACAGTCAATTAGGATATCACTGTAATTAACACTATGAGCTGTGAGTGTTGGCGATGGACAAACCTTACCAAGAATAAGCTTCATGTCACATGCCCATCCGTTCTGAGAGCCGAGTGTTTACTGGCTGTAGAACCGGCTTTTAATAGCTGACTCTAGCATCTTAGAGAAGCGACTTGCCAGTAGAAAATACCTATCATATGGTCTGTGCATGATAGCTCGCAGCTCATGGAAAACTACCGTGAGTGATGTAATTTTATAAACCTAATGTATATAACCCATATTTATGTAAGTTACTCTCTTTTAGACGGGCTAATACAGAAGTGTCCAGGTTTTATAAGTTTAAACGTAATATTTTCAATAGTCGAGTTTATACAGTACAAGGGGTAGTAGAAACAGTTTTGGAATGGCAGATATGGAAGGTTTTACTAGTAAAGCCTCGATAAATCGGACTTCAATATATCAGAATTTGCCTTTTTCAGGCTCTGAGATGCTCTGATCACCAGAAATACTATAATAAAAAGTTTTAAGAAATGGGGAAGATTAAACAAAAAAGGCGAAAGCAAATTTGATCAGATATCATATTTGCTTTAGCCTTACTGAGAACTAAGACACTTGAGTATGTGTTACGACCCTTGGCCTCTTAGGGTGTAACAATATCACAAATTACACTTTGTACTATAGGTCCAGGAATAAATTCCACCAAATTATCACCTCATTATTATGGGGTATATTGAAATTCTTGCAGTGGCTTTAATTACAATATATATATTAACAAATAAACAAACTAACAAGTATATCCGTATGTACAAAAATAAATAAATACAAATTAAAACTGAACAAATGAACTACTCAACCGAGTGACAAAATAACGAATATCAACGTAATAATTAAAGGCTTTAGTCTAGACACTACCCTAAACAACGTGGTTATCCAATACACGTAACTCATAAACAAGTTAGGTATTTATCGTTGATTTCTACAGTATGACTACACACAGTCTCACATATAAATCACTATGTAATACTTGGTGTTCTCAAAAGTCGAGCAAGGTTAACACGGTATACCACTAAAATATACAATAGGAGAGGAGATACTTATCTTACAACTGCCAGCCCAATACTGAAAACCGCCCGGCTCTGAGAGGTAAAACTAAGCAGCAGAGGTGGACGGAAATGATGTCACAACAAAAGACGTTCAACTTGCGAATCCACAAATAGTTATCAAACGCTCACTCCCTCATTAGTATGCGAAACTAATACAATAAACATAACAGTCGACCCTCGTTAAAACGGACTAATAGGGGGGAAGGGGTGTCCGTTTTAGCCGATTGTCCGAAGTAACCGATTTAGGGGTTAATATTGCATAATATTGTATTATACAGCAATGTGTATGTTTATTTGAGTGCCCCGTCATAGGAGTCCGTTTTCTCTCACTTCAGGACGCCTGAGTCGTCCGTTTTCTCTTAATCTTAGAGTGCAGTACACCAGTGACTTCTTTATTTCTTAGTAATTTGAAATTGCAACCCCAATTGCAACTGGGACAATCCCAGAACCAGAAATTTGATATGGACAGTTCAGATTTCGTCCGATTTATCCGAAATCCGGATTAAAGGGGTCCGAATTAACGAGGGTTGACTGTACATTGTTTTACTGAACACATTGAAACTAATTGAAACTAATATTACTACATTTTAAGAACAGTGGGGTATGCTATAACGAATCTAATTGGTTCTAGAACCTCGTTCGTTATAGCATTCGTTCGTTATAGGATTAATCCGTCCCAGGCCCCCAAATACAACCACTTAACACTGAAAATTTGCTGTGGAAATTGTAAAAAATACGGTACTTTATCTTACCTTAGTGTTGTTCAGCATGCAGGACAGGAGGCAGAGGGGGAGGGGGGGAGGAGAGAATTATGGAGAAGAGGTGGAAGGAGAGGAGTCATCCTTCCTAGCCCTCTTTGGTGACTGTCTTACAGGCACTTTGTCTGTAGGGTCTTTTGCTACTTTTTTAAAGAAGGAATCCAGGGTTGGCTGCTTCAACCTTGATTTCTGGACCTTCCAAAAGTAGTTCATCATAGTGTCATTAAACACACTGATGGCCTTTTCCACAGAACCAACATCAGGATGATAATCCTCGCAAGCTTAGACAGTTTGCTCCAGCAAAAGAACACATCCTTGAGATCTTTGGCTGGAATGATGTGGCTTTCCTCCTTGTCCTCATCCTTCCCTGACTCCTCAGAAGTTAAGCTCCGCTTCAGTGTCTCATTTTCTTCTTTGTGAAGCTCAAGCAGCTCCTCAGTGGACAGCTCCTTACTGTGCTCTTCCACCAACTCCTCAACATCATCCACTTCCAGACCCATGGAATTGCCCAGAGACACAATTTCATGTACAACAGCCTCTTCGAAGCCTTCAAAGTCTCTTTGAAGCACACATTCAGGCCACAATGGCCTCCAAGCAGCACAAAGACACCTCAAAGTAACCTCTTTCCAGGCTGAGGTAATTAAAAACACAGCATCTGCTATATTGAAGTGACTCTTCCAAAATTCCTTCAAACTAACATCACTGGAAGAAGTGGTCGCAAAACATTTTCTAAACAGTGCCTTTGTGTACAGCTTCTTAAAGTTAGAAATTACCTGTTGATCCATGAGCTGGATGAGAGGTGTTGTGTTGGGTGGCAAGAAGTGCACAGTGATGAAGTTGAACTCCTCTGGCAATTCAACCATCAAATTAGGAGGGTGGGCTGGTGCATTGTCCATCACCAACAAAGCTTTCAGTGGAAGATTATTCTCCCTGAGGTATTCCCGAACACTGGGTCCAAACACCTCAATCACCCACTCAGAGAAAAGAATCCTGGTCACCCATGCCTTTGGGTTTGACCGCCACATAACACCAAGGCGGTTCTTCCTAATGTTTTTGAAAGCTCTGAGGTTTTCTGCATGGTACACAAGGAGTGGTTTTATTTTGCAGACACCAGAAGCATTAGCACAAAGAAGGAGGGTAAGCCTGTCTTTCATTGGCTTATGGCCAGGGACAGACGTTTCCTCCCTGGTAATGTATGTATGGCGAGGCATTTTTTTCCAAAAAAGTCCAGTTTCATCACAGTTGAATACCTGCTGAGAAACAAAGCCTCCCTCTTTAATCACATTCAAAAAAATGCCATGGTTTTCCTTAGCTGCTTCCTTATCTTCACCAGCAGCATCACCATGTCTCACAACACTATGTAATTTATTTCTTCTGAAACCAGTAAACCACCCCTTGGTACCCCTAAACACTGGCACATCACTATCACTTCCACTGGGAGTCTTGGCTTATAAGATCCTCAAACAATTGTCTGGCCTTCTCACAAATTATAGCTTCACTAATGCTATCACCTGCCATTTCTTTCTCCTTTATCCACACTAAGAGTAAATTTTCCGTCTCCTCAATCACATTACACCTTGCTTTGCTAAGTCTAGAGATTCCCTTAGCCACTTGCACAGTTTTCAACTCCTTTATTCTTCAAAATCGTACATATAGTCGATTTAGCCATCCCATACTCATCACTAAGTTTCGCAATGCTTGTTCCATCCTCACATTTCTTTATGATTTCTTTCTTAGTTTCAAGAGTTATGAGCTTTCTCACTCGCTTTGAACGATTCATTGTCACAATTGTACACTTGTATAACAAAATATTTATACAAATAACTCGTATTTCTACATCAAAAGACGAAATTTCAACAATAACAGTGGTGCACTGGCTACACAATGAGACAAAGATGGCGTCTGACGCTCTTGTTGTGGGTTGCGGTACAACAATATTCATGCGCCAGACGAAATAGTCCCGTATTCACCCGCGTTCGTTGTAGGAGATGCGTTCGTTATAGCATTCTCAATTTTATAGGTAAAACCGTTCGTTATAGGAATATTCGGAGTAGGATCTGTTCGTTATAGGATATCCCACTGTATAACACATAACATCTTAATTCAAACCGCTTCAGTTTGTACACAACGAAACAGTCGAAGTTCATATACCGACCAGAACTCCATTCATTGGTTCTTATTCAGACACTCGTAACAGTATGTAAGCAGACTGTGGCTGATCAGGTGCTGCTACATTCATCAGGTTTATTTATTTATTGATTCAGTATTATATTCTCATATGATTGGCCTCTTATGGTTTATGGTTCATCATGATTAATATAGATTAATATAACATCATCAGTAATAGAGAAAAATACAATACAATACTGTACAGTACTGTCTGTAATTTGTAATAGGACTTGAAAATAAAAGGATTAGCTGTATCAGAAGGTTGTTTACTCAGATGCATTCAAGAGCTTTCAGTAGACCAGCTTACAACAGGGGTCACTATAAAACACTGTGTACAGTGAATCCTCGAAGATCTGGACCAAAAAGTGAGTACCACCTGTCCGGTAAAGCCGATTGTCCAGATTTTCCGGCAAATAATGAATGATATAAGAAACACC